CCCCCTTCTCTTAGATGGAAAGAAAACAGCAAGGATCTGGGAGGCTTAATTTGAAGGAACTAAGGAATTGAAGCTCTGCTGCTCCCAGGACTTTAACTAAGCCCCCTTTGTCTTATGGGGAGATGGGTGCAACATTGTGGAAGGAACAGTGTGGGGGGCTGTTGGCCTGTGCTCTTGGTCTTCTGGGAAGTCTTGAGTCCTTTGAAGAAGAGCGTAAAAAGTAGGCCAAAGTTGCACTTAATCCCTGTGCACATATAACCTGACCCTTGTCACAAAGCACAGTGATACATTTTTCTTTTCCTACGATACTTGTGGCAGATGAGATGCTTGACTCTCCTCCTAAGGTTCAGGTTGTCCTGCTATTGAACTGCAGAAGTTCTGTGGGCATGGTGGTTATCTGGAGTAGTGCTGACACAATCCACTCCCCTCATGATGGAGTTCTCAGTACCGTTGTTTTTATGCACAGCTAGGGAGCATGAGGTACTCTAGGCTTCTTGATCCCTCTCCACTGGCAAAAAGGATGGGGAGAAAATACAAGCACCTGCTCTACTGATGCTCATAGCATCACTTTAGTAAAAAATGTTCCTGTTGGAGAACAGTCCTAGCAGTAGAAGTGTTGCTTTTCCTGGCTGCTTTTCCACCCATGTCTTCCTTCTGTCGCAGAGGGCACCACGGATAACATTGCCATGCAGGCACTGGAGCACATCCACTCCAATGAGGTGATCATGACCATTGGCTACTCGCGCACGGTCGAGGCCTTCCTGAAGGAAGCCGCTCGCAAGCGGAAATTCCAGGTCATCGTAGCAGAGTGTGCGCCGTTCTGCCAGGTAAGGCCTGAGCTGGTTGTCTTCTCCAGGCATATTGTCCTGTGCATTCTAACTGAAATGTTGTCTCTGGAGGCAAGCTGAATATTATGGAAGTTCCTCTGCAGTTAAGAGCCTGGAGACAGCTCATTATATTCAGCCTTGAGAAGAAACAACTGAGAGGGCACGTCATTATTGTATACAAGGATCTAAAGGGGGATGCTAAGGAGTTGGAGCCAGGTTTTTTTCAGTGGTGCAAACCAATGAAATGAGGTAACCGGCAGAAACCGATACACATGAAGTTCCACCTGAATATGAGGAAGAACTTCTTTACCATGTGAGTGACTGTGCACTGGAACAGATTGCCCAGAGAGGTCACAGATTCTCCCTCACTAGAGATATCCAGGTGCCATCTGGATGCAATCCTGTGCAATGTGCTGTGGGATGACCCTGTTTGAGCAGGGAGGTTGGACCAGATGATCCACTGTGGTCCCTTCCAACCTGACTGATTCTGTGATTATCCTGCCCCAGCATCCTTCAGTCAGAGGACTGTATTTGAGTTCCATCACTTGCTATTTTTGCAGTTCAGACAAGATTTGAGTACTACTGCACTGCAGGAGCTATGTCCCACGGGACCAGTTTGATTCTCCCTCTTTTTAGGGTCATGAAATGGCTGTCCGACTGTCTAAAGAGAACATTGAAACTACTGTCATGAGTGATGCTGCTATTTTTGCTGTCATGTCACGAGTCAACAAGGTAAGGAAGGCTCCACTGGAGGAGGGAGTTCATGGCAGGTTGGGTGCTTAGGTCTCCCAAACCAGCTGCAAGTCCCAGCAGTGGTGGATGTGTTTCTTCCCTGAAGACTCAAAATTGTAGTAGTCCCTGTTTACAGCTGGGGTGGAGGTTCAGTGTGGAACCCCAAGTCAGTATGATGACTCAGTGTGTGGTGATAGGTTTCTCTGGCTTAGTAGCTTAACAGGCAGAACAGTTACAAGAGAGCCTCAGAGGATTAACCTGTTTTTAAAGATGGAACAAACCCCAGCATTTTCAAAGGGAAGAAACCCCCATTGCTTGGAACATAAATGGCTGGTGAAAAGAATCACCAAAGTGTGTCTTTTCAAACAGACCTGTACTTCTAGAGTTGAAGACTTGGCACCCAAAGTAAAAAAAAAAAAAAAAAAAAAAAGGTACTTGTAAGATACTAAATATCAGCCACATCAATTCATATGTATGTATCTTACCCTACTTTACATTATTCCCATTTTACTGCAAGGGAATTGTTCCAGAAAGCAGTCGAGTTACTTGTACAAAGCTTACTTTGTAGGCTTGTAGAACAACAGGGACCACAGCCCAGTTTCTGCTTGGTGTTCCCGCAGTGGAACATACTCTGAAATTCTCTGAGATGGCCTCACCATGCTGAAGTCATGCTCTTGTTAGAGAGGAACATCTCCGTGCAGAGTCAGTGCCAGATGAAACAGATCAGGCATCCAGCTTTGTCTGTCTGTCTGTTCTGACATACTCCTCCAGCTCCTGTCAGGGTCCAAGCCAGGAAGTATTCCTTCCCCAGTTTGCCATGGAACAAATGCTATCTAATGCTGTTTTGCCCTTTTAAGGTCATCATCGGTACAAAGACAATCCTGGCTAATGGTGCCCTGATTGCTGTGAGTGGGACTCACACCCTGGCACTGGCAGCTAAGCACCACTCCACTCCGCTCATCGTGTGTGCCCCCATGTTCAAGCTCTCACCACAGGTAAGTACAGCTGCTCTTCAGAACTGCACCTGCAGGGGCTTTTACTTGTGGGAGCTTAGTGTGGAGAGCACAGTCTGTCCCAAGACAAGACTGGTAAATGAACCATCTTCCCCGTCCGGCACTGGTACTTCAGATAGAGCTCCTCACCTAATCTGGCACACCTCAGGTTCTCCTTGAAGCACCCTCTGCCACATGTGCTAAGCAGTGCGTTTAGTAAAGGATGTAGACCACTGCCTACTAGAAACAAACATCACCGTACTTGTTTTTCCTCAGCCACAACAGATTTCGATTTATATCTTTAATACTGAAAGGCAGAGGAGGTAGATGGAGATGATCTAAACTGTTTCCTACATTCAATACTTTGTATTGTCAGATGAAGTTATAGACTGAGGAAGTCACTTCTCTGCTCCAGTTCCCTTGGCTTTGCAGAAGGGCAGCCACGTTATAGAAGGCTCTAAAAGCTCTGAGGAAAAATCTTTCACCTGTAGATGTTAGAGAAGTTCTAGACACAGGCACTATGTAATTATTGTAAGCAGATGTAATACCACTTGCCAAGTCATCTTTCTCTGCATTACTTCATTCCAGTGCCAGGATCTGTTTTCACTAGGATAATCAGGTAGTCTTTTTTATTTTTCTGACCTTCCTGTACTCTTTCTCATTTAGTTCCCTAATGAAGAAGATTCATTCCACAAGTTTGTGTCACCACAGGAAGTTCTGCCATTCACAGAAGGTACTGGTCATACAGCTGGTCAAGCTGGTTCAGGCTATAATTTTAAAATTTCTTTTAATAACTCACATAAAAATTAAGCATAAGACTGTCCTGTAACCCAAGATAGAAAGTGCTTTCCTATTGTATTTAGCAGAAAAAAGTGCTGCAAAACATCTAGTTTTATAAGTAACTTTCTATTACAGAAAGTACAGAGAAAGGATTTCTTCTGAACACTGTCTTTGCAGTTTTGCTTCTGTTCTGAAATGGTCAGTGTTTTATTATAGGCTGGTGATAATGGTGCCAGGCAGGTGGGAGTTTCCTGTGGGACAGTGCAAATGCCCAACACTAAGGGCAGTTTCCATTCCTTCCTACAAGTCCTGTTACCTTCTGGAAACTTTGTTACACAATCCAGCTGTTGAAACCCAGTATCTGCAATGGGCTTCCCACACAAGCACCATCTTTAGAAAGGCATCAGCACCCAAGCCCACCTTCAAATAGCAAAGTCTTTTCAAAGCTCTATCTCTGTGACAAAGACGGTTGAAATGAAGATATCAAGCTTGGCACAGGATTTCAGTTCTGGCCTTCTAAGCTCTTCTTTCAGTAATAACTTTGGTAGCATCAGGATCCTTGTATTCTACATACTGGCAGGGTTTTTTTGGCAATTAGTAAATCTACATCAGAGGGGATCTGGGATTTCTATCAGCAAAAACAACCAGAGAGTTCTGCCATTCGCCTACGATTGCTGTATGCCTGTCATTCAATAACATCAGTGAGGAAGTTTGAAAGCATTCAGGATGTGGCATGTGCATAGCTACTGTGTTCTGGGGCTTGGGAAGATGTGCAGAAGGCTAAATGTACTTTGAGCTGCTTTGTCTAATAGTGCTGCTATTCACTTTACAGGGGCGATCCTGGCAAAGATCAACGTTCACTGCCCAGTGTTTGACTATGTCCCTCCAGAGCTCATTACTCTCTTCATTTCTAATATTGGGGGTAATGCACCCTCCTACATCTACCGCCTCATGAGCGAGCTCTACCACCCAGACGACTATGAACTCTAATACTGAGAAGCATGTTGCTCTCCAGACTTTTCCTGTCTTTCTCTTTAGAAAAGATACAACAGCTAATTAAATTGTACCTTGCAAAGACTGGTTGCTGTGGGGAACTTACTCAGCAATGTTTTTCCTACTCAGAAGCAGTGGAAGGCAGAGCTCATGTACAGGATCTCTGTGCTGTGTCAGAAGCCACATGTTGCTGCTAACCCACTTTGATCTTGAAACAGCAAAGCATACCTATAACTCTCTGGGGCAGCTAAGCTGTTACTTCAGAGTATGCTGCAATAAAGGCTGTTTACAGTGATCTCACTGTTAAGCACATTTTCCATATGCAGCTGTTTTGTTTCTTTAACTAGGAGGTGCCAGTGCAGTGAGTTGCCTGCACCTATGATGCAGCAGCAGGCTTTAAGGTGTGCTTTCACATATGAATGTGATAGGAATAGGAATCCAGCAGCAGTTGTCCTTAAAAATGGGTATTTAACTACTTAGTTATTTCTGTGGGGAGAAGGTGGGGCTATACTGGGATTTAGAAACCTATTTCAAGAATGCAAACTGCAAGGAACTGGAGAAAGCAGCGGGGTGTGTCATTCATTGCCTAGTTAAATGGTTTTTGCTTCTAAGTTGGCCTATATATACTTTGAAGCTAGTCAGTCCTCATTCCAACCGCTGACATGAGCCGAAAGAGTGAGCTTAGTGTTAATTTTGTGAAGAAATACCTCCCAATTTTTAAAGCACTGTAAAACACACTAATTAAATTTCCCCTTTGTTATGCAGAATCACACTGTGCTTGCAGAAAAAAAGCACTTTACTTTAGTAACTGAGTGGGTGCAACTCCTTGCGTCCAATAGCCAAGTACTGACATAGGGCCCAGACTTACAATGCAGTTCCTTAATGCTGAAGACATTTCTCCAGGCTACAAGGGTGAGCTCCTCCTGCCATGTTCTCCTGGCTGTGCTCTGCTTCTTGGGTCAGTGCTTGGAGCAGAACTTCAGTGAATGCACTGACTCAGAACATGGCTCCATACAGAGTATTGCTGTCTAACAACAGGGCACATGGATCATACCAACACTTCTAGTGGTTGCAGCTTACAATCTTAGCATTTTTGGATTAAGGTCTTTTTTTTCCAAAGAGATGCCATGCTTGTGCCATCTTCCGCAGTCTGGCCAAATTAGGTTTAGGCTGGAGGGAGAAAAATTAAGAAGCACTAAATCATAACTGAGCAAATGAGCTTCAGGATTTCCATACTCTGCCCCTAATATGGTCATTCCCAAATGACCTGACTTTCAACAGAATCCAATTTAATAACAATAGGCAGGATAACAACAAAAGGGAGGAGTTCCAAATTTAAATGTAACCTGGTCTAGTGAAAGGTGTCCCTGCCCATGGCAGGAGGAGATGATCTTTAAGGTCCCTTCCAACTCAAACCATTCTATGATTTTATAATAAATATTGCTATTTATTTGCTTTTCCCCCTTTGGGGAAGTAGGTGTTAGTTTAATTAGCATTTTTCCACTAGTAGAAAATCAGAATTTCATGTTTTCCAAGTTTTACACTTAAAAACTGCAAACACTTTAAATGTATGCTTAAATCTAAGAACACTATTCAAATCAATGTGACCATTCAAATGATATATGGTAAGATCCTTGCTAAAGTGTTTGCAGGACAGAAGTTTTATGTTCCAAACTTTTATTGGTAACAGTAAGTAAGAAATCAAGTCATATAAAGCCAGCGGAGATGGTTTCAAAATTACTCATTCTAGTTCTAATATACATATGTGACACATCTGTGATAAGCCAGAGCACAGATAACAAGAGGTGTGTCCCACACAATACCTGTTTTTCCTCCTGTAGATGGTCTATGTCTGCAAGAGGCATCATGGAAGGTCTTCCATGAGCACACTGGAAGGGCAACCGGCAAGATGACAAAGCTTCAATAAGCCTGCAGCTCTCCTCTGAAGTCAAATGCTCATTAAACTTAATAGCTCCTGAAAAAACAGATACAAATTCTTGCACCTGCTGCTATAGAGAATTCTCTTCCCTCCACAGCTGTGGTTTAGGGCATCTCCCAAAGATTAGCTGGGAGGCTGGCCCAAAGGCTGCAGTATGGCAGACTTGGGGCTTAGCTCAATTAAGCAGACTGCTGCATAAGGATGAGCTTTCCATGGCTGAAACCGTGACCTAACACTAGTGTGGTGAATGGTAAGTTAATTGGGTTTTGGTTTTCCGGGTGATGTTGCAAGAGGCAAATGAGCTTTTATTTTGTGGGGAGACAGGGGGATGGTGTTAGTTACAGCTGAAGATGCAAGCAGTTCACAAATCAAAGACTATTAAACCAAGACAACAGCTAGTATCAGTTCCATAGGCTTTATTGGGTTCTATGTGCCTGCCACAGACAGACATCACTTCCAAGACCAAATGCTAGCCCTACCACTAAGTCCTTTCTCACAAGTGAGCACTTGGTGGCATTCAGAGGAAACCCAAGCAGAACATTAGGGAGTCATTTCAGAAGGGTTTGCAGACTTTAGCCTTCACAGATGCACAAGACCATCTGCAATCTGCCTTTCAGCCATGGGACTTATAGATACCAAAAAACCCCCTGCACATTGACTGCCAATTGTAGGATGCAGTGACACTGACAAAACAGATGCTTCTGGTTCATGTTTAGCCCTTTAGCATGATCTTGGTAATACTGTATATGGCACAGGAGCTGGTACAAGAGGCTGTAGCTACTGCAGTTTACACCTGTAAGGTCTGGTCTTTGCCAGGTGCTAGAAAGCCACAGTCCTTGAGAAGATATAAATTATTACTGCACTCCCTCCAAAAATACTTGAAAGGTCACAGGCACACTTAAACTAGCACTTTTGATACTTATAGGAAATAAAAAATGCTTTTTGGGAAGAGTGGCTAAGGTTTTGACCCTTCATAGAGCTGTTATTTGAATGGTTTAGAGGTTACACAGATGAATGCACCTCAGAGCTGTATTCTATCTCTTGCATGTGAGGGTTGGAAAGTATGTTAGGCCCATACATTAATAAAGTGGAGGAGTATTGCTTGACCCTCACAGTGCTGTCCATCAAAGACCCATTGTCTCCTCAGCCCTATGAAGTACAGTCTGTAATCCTGCAATAGCTGCAAACACATCCTGAACCCACTGCCCCAGGGAGGGTGTTGTGTACAGACAGAAAGGTTTAAAAAGAAAAAAAAGACTGAAAGAAAAGTACAGTTTCCCTACCATGACAGGCCTGGGAAGCTAACACCTTCAGAAATGTCAGAGGCAGTGTCCCTCGTGCTCCTCCTCTTGTGGTCTGCACTAGCTAAAAGCAGCAAGGGAACATCATCTTACTTTCCATTTAATGTGAGAAAAAGGAAGAATTATAACACAAAGGAAAATAAAACTGAGGAAAAGCTAGTGGATTATCTAGTCCTCTCTCATTAGAGGCTTAACACACTACCTTTGGTTCATACAGTAAGCTTTGGATTGTTATAGTCAACTTTAAAAGCAGAGAACAACTCACCTCAACTTGTTCTTGAATAAGCTCCTGGAAAGAAAAAAGGGGATATCAGTTATTTACTACATAACTGCCAGAACCAGGAAAAATGCTGCTGCTGGTAGTACGCTGACTGCAGTGTGAAAAATCTAGGTGCAAGTCATGACCTCTCACAAGTATCTCATCAGACTTTAGACTAAGCATTTGGTTTCTCTCTGCACCAGCTTCCTCTCTGCAGAATGGGCATAATGGAACTTTTCACCTCAGAGTGCCACAAATGCACGTTCCCTTGCAATAGCTGCCCTTTCTTCTTTGGATAAGAACTAGCTCTTGTGGATTTCATTTCTGATATCTAAAATACAATTTATTCATAATCAATCCTGAACAGCTGCTACCAGACCTAACTGACACACAAAGGGCTGCCGAACAGATCTGCCAAAACGCCCAAGAGATCTTGAGGCATCAGCTAAGAATGAGTGCTTGTGAGGCACCGACCTGATCCCTTCCTCTGTCACTTCTACTGCTCTTGGCTCCCAAATCACACCAGCATTTTCAGTCCTTCCCAATTACAGCACGGTTGGAGAAGAAAACTTAATCAAAAGAATCATCTTATCTGTTACTTTTCACATCAAAAGAGATGTATGGCAAGACTGGACTGATTCATGAATCACTGTAATCTCGTCAGTTCATGAATCAGCCTAATGTCTGAATATGGTACTCCAGAAACAATCTTTAAGGAGTGTAAGAGCAATTGTGATTGTGGAGAACTGTTTACAGTGGAAACTGGAAGTAATCAGGAATTTCTCTCTCAGATTACAGAACATCGGGAACAGTGCTTTTTAGAAAGCTGCACTGTCCATGAAGAGATTTCAAGATAACAATAATATTGCTGATACATAAATATTATTTCTTAGGATTTAATAATTTTACTGTTCTTTCAGGCATTTACTGTACATCCAAGCATTCATGAATATTGAACTGTTGAAACTTTTGTAATATATACAATTTTTCTTAGCTTCTCTACTAGTCCAAGTCTGAAACAGTCTCCTATTGTTTCAGTTATGGTTCAAGGATTCCAGTTGTGGGACTATTTCGCTACTGAAAATGATTTCCCAAGGGACTTCACTGTCTCCCTCATAACAGAGATACTGTAATACCCTGGGTCATTAAGACAGAACAAGATCCAGTATCATAACTTCACCCATATTCACAGCTGACCTCCACAAGACTTCTAGTGATAGGTTGTCTTTTCCGTCGTAACTCATTGGCTTCTCTTTCTAGAAAACACTGCGGCACTCTCCTCACAAGAACCAAGGAGCTGTTTGTCTCAGGAAATGATAATTCAAGACCTAAGTCCTCCAAATTTTTGTAGCAGCATCTGTGGGGGGGGGGAAAAATACCAGAAATAAGACATCAACCACAGCAGCTATGTCGCCACAGCATACCTAAATATTTCGGTAGTACACGTGTTTCTTCCTGTGACAGTTTCCCATCTCAAAATCCATGCATCATGGGATTCCAAGTAATACTGCCCTTTCAGCCACGCTTTTTCACTCCAATCAACCGTGCATTTTTTGTGTTCCAAAACCATGGGATCTAAGAGTTCCTGTATTATGTGGAGTGAAGCTTAATGTCTAAATGTTCTGAAGAGAAGACTGCGAGGAGACCTCATAGCAACTTTTCAATATCTAAAGGACCTACAAGGGAGCTGGAGAGGGACTCTTTGTTAGGAACTGCAATGGTAGGACAAGGGATAATGAGTTCAAATTGAAGGAGGGGAAATTTAGGCTAGATATTATAAAAAGGTTTTTTACTGTAAGGTTGGTGAGACACTGGCACAGGTTGCCCAGGGAAGTGGTGGCTGCCCCAACCCTGGCAGTGTTCAAAGCCAGGCTGGATGAGACCTTGTACAACCTGGTCTAGTGAGGAGATGTCCCATGGCAGGGCAGGGGAGGTTGTGACTAGATGATCTGTAAGGTCCATTCCAACCTTTAAATTCTAAGATTCTATGAAATTTAAAAATCTTATCTTTCCTAAAGATGCACAAGGTGTCTGGTTCAACACACAAGCATTCCAAATACTAAAATGACACAGCACTAAGACTGCTTTAAGTCTAACCTAAAAGAACTGTGATTTCAATTGACATGTAATAGCAAATACTCAAAACAGGGAAAAAAGGTAAGAAATTTATGACGGTTTAATTAACTTTATATTCCATTAAGCAAAGAGAACAGGAAAGAACAAGCTCTAGTTAATGATGACATATGACATCCTGTGGATGGAAAAATACACCCAGAAATGAGACTTCACAGTCAGATGAGAACTTATCTTCAAAATGAAAACAACTGTAAAAATATGTACTTTATTTTACCAATTTGGGGAATATTCACTTAAAACAAAGGTGGTAAAGGTCAGTTTTAGAAAAGAGATTCTTTGAACAAAAAAAGAAGCAAATCTCAGCTTAGTAAGATCAGTCACTAGAATAATAAAAGTATTAGCCTCCATATGGAGATGGCCTGTGTAATTCTGTCCCCAAAAAAGAAGATATGCCTTCAACAAGCACACAGAAGGACAGAAAAAGCCTGTTGTGGTGAAATGACAAAGTCCAAGCAGCTATTGAAGTCAACTGGGCTTTTGTATTTGTTTAAGTGGAAAAAATAAAGAAGGAAGTTCAAGAGAGTCAACAGAACAATGCATTACTACAATGCTTGGTGGACAAAGAACAGAACCAAAGCTGCAGGTGAACCAGAGGTCCAGACGAACTATTAAATTGCAAGCATAGCTGAAGCAAAAGGTCTTTAGACAAGTTAATTTCATTATGTCAAAGTTTACCACAGAATACAGCCACAGTAACAACAGCATTTACATAGTACTTTTAATTTGCAACCTTTTAGTAGGGTGATTAAGTAGGCAAAAGGATGAACTGCTAATAAATACTGATAAATAAAAAAGTAGCACACTAAAAGTACTAGTAAGATATTAAGCTTTTTGCTTATCAATCATCAATCAGTTATCATAATTTATCTTAACTGCAAATCACAACTGTATCCCACTGTGCTGAGTATTCAACCCGTGTCCTTAACAGAAAAACATGCCTTTCTGATCCACTTCCCTACTGACTTTTGTAGAACGTTTGTGATTTGGCTGATGAAGAAAGGTAGCTCTCAGAATTTACTAGCTCTTTTAAAAAGCCTCTGATGATGCCTCTTAAAAGCAGCTTAAAAAGGAAATGCAAAAAGTTGTCATGGATAGAGAAGTAACATTTGCCATGATTTAGAGACTACAGAAACAAGGTGTGCTGCACTAGATGGTCAGTATCATAATTGTTTATTAATGATGTGCAGAAGAAGGGACATGGTCACACAGGGAGATTTGTAGAAAATATAAAACTATCTGGGTTAACTGAGACTAGAGACAAAGTTGAACTCAATCAGAACTTAATATGAGCAGACAAATTATGAGATCATCATATGAAATCGATAGGATGAATGAAAAGGTATAATGAAAAATGGACAGAAAATCTGAATTCACTGTTCCTAAAGGCAAATAAATGCAAATTATCAGGACTGATTTAATCTGTTTCTATTTTTGGTTTGCTTCTACATAAATAGCAAAAATTAAAAAAATAACCTGCACAACTCTGACCTTCTTTGCCATGACCATTCAATAGCAGTTCATGCAAATGGCAGTAGCCAAAATAGCAGACAAAATATGAAGTGCGGATATAATAAACAGAAAATATGGGCACAGCTGCAAAGCTACTGTAGGAATCAATGGGATACCCTCACTTAGCATATTGTATTCCACTCTGGCCATCCCTTCTTAAAAGGAGACATATCAGAAATGGAAGACATTCAAAGATGAGTGCAAAAATAAATCAAAGGTGACCAAGAGGCATTACAAATACTGTGATGTTACCAAGATCATTGAGAGGTCGGAACAACAAAGACATTCAAATGTTCCTCAACTACGAACAAGACTAACCAAGTGTATCCCTAACAGGCAACAATCGTAACAAGGACTGATTTAAAAGCTGTTGAGTTTGTGAAAAAAAAAACCCACAAATGCATGTGGCAGGTAACAGACAGGGGTTTGGGGGAAGAAAAGTTTGATTAGTGTCCAATAGGTCTGCAATAGTCCAACAACAAATCTGTATCTAAACTGCTGCAGTACAAAAGTTAACTATCCTAATCGTAGCTAGGCCACCAATCCGAAACATTTGGGAAACAGTGTTCATTAGTTACTCTTGGCAGGCACTTTGGAATAAGGAATGTGTTTTTGAAGGATTCATAATACAGACTTTCCATACCTCATCCTTCTCTTCTCAAGCAGTGCCTGTAAAATCAGTACCTAGATTGACACTATGGGCTCCGCACTCCACTGTGCACTCCCAAGTCCTGAGGCCCAGGCAGCAGAAACTGTTGGAGGCTGCTTTGGCATTCTTCTGGCCCACACATGAAGGTTTACTTTCCCAGGGAAATCGCAGCACATTGCAAAGGCACAGAAATGGCACACCACTGGGTTTTGTCCTGAGATGTTGTAACAATGTGCCTAAGAAGTGTATCTACTATCCTCAGCACAGATACAGCCAATTGGTCTCAGCTCAGGAAAGAAGCAAGGACGTCTCTCCTGAGCTTTGTGGTTGCCCAGCAATATACAGAGATCTTCCTGGTCAACACAGCCATTCCCAAAATTTTACAGCTATCTGCCATTACTAACCGTAGCAATCTTCTTTGCTCTTCTGTAACTTCAATCTCCAGGGGAGGAGAGATGGAGGACGACAGTAATTTCTTCCTGCCACATGCTGCAGCTTCCTTCTCATAGGAATCTGTGAATGAAACATTTAGAACTATTCCCCTCTTAAAATATTTATGCAGGCATTACCCTTAATGACCCTCTGGTTTGGCATTTAATCCCGTTTGGATTAAAAAGTGACCACAGAATGCCTTCTCCTGAAACTTGTGGAGGACTGGGAATGTCACAAACCAGACATCCAGTCTCTGGGGAAGGGTTGGTTAATGCCACTTTGTTTTTTCCCACCAGTTCCAAAAAAGAGCCACCCTAAATAGCAAAAAACCTACTGATATATTTGGTCCAACTCAGAGAGAGCAATTTTTCCACAGAAAAGTCAGATATAAATGGAGTTAAGATACTATTCATTAAGCATTTCTCCCTTCAGTCTTTTACTTTTTTCAGTACCTGACCAAAAGGAGCAGAGTTCCTGGAACACTCTTTGCAGGAACTGTGCAGTATTTGTTGATGAAAGAGAAGGTCAATGATTTTACAGTCCTTGATGGATGGCTTTTGTGCTTTTTAACACTGAAACCAATGGCTAATGAGCTTACACAGAAGACTATTATCCCTTTGCAAACAGTTTCAGATTGTGGAAATTTCAGTCTTTAAGCACAGTATTCAGCCAAAAAGGAACCAAATGACCTATGCTATTTACTCTGCATCCCATGTCTTATTCTTCACAGCATAACCACATAAACTTATTGATGTTGTTCTATTTCCTCTTCATTGTTTTTCCTATCAGTCTTCCTGCTCTTTCATTATGTCAGGACTATTTTAGTTCAATAGTTCTGTGGGTAGGGAGTATATCTTCTATTTCTGGAAATTCTGTAACAATTTTCAGCTGCCAATACCGTGACTGCTAAAGATACTGAATGTCTGCACTCTCCTACGAATCAGGATAAAGACGACAAAAGAATATCTTATTGGTTCCATACATCCCAGACAGCTCACTTGTATTTTTCTGTGCACTGGTTATCATTTTTCCCAAGACCACCTGAATCCTCACCAGCAATTAGCTGCTCCAAACGGATCCGTTCGTGTGCTGCATGTTGGTCCACCAAAATCAAGAGGTTTCCATCTAAAAATATAGCACAACAGATGAGAATAGGCAACTTTGTACCAGACAAGTGCACAAACTGGGAAGAATGACCACTCCCCAGAGGCCACGTTTAGAAGATAACTATCAGCCTGTTTCACAGAAACAAAGTGAGGAGGAGACTGTGTTGGCAGAACATAAAGTCACTACAGAACAGAAATGCTGTGATCCAAATTGGTGGTTAAATTAAGGTAATTAAATTGAGTCAGAACCTCTTGTCTATTGACATCTTCATCTAACTTCAGAATGAGAGCTGAGGTCACCCACAAACTATTCTGTTTAATCCAGTATTTTGAAATGTCACAAAATCTACTGGTTTTGAATGCCTTTTTTTGTACAGCTTCAGCAAGCTTCAACAATGAGTATGTCCAGACACTGTGAACAGAGTCTGAAAGATGTTAGTGATTTGAGTACAATCTATTTTTATAACATTAATCTGACAGCAGTAGGAACATTCAACAATGTCCAAAATAAAGATACAGAAGATCCAAGAACTTTCAAGTGAAGGCTAACATTTTCCTCTACTCACAATATCATCCCAAGACAAGAAGAGATTACAAATAGGACAGTATTCCCTCTGCAGTCTAACTGCATTTGACAGTCACCTCAACTTCATGCTATTAACCACTCTTACCTGCCTTTTTATCCGTTTCATTCCTAGTGTTAATTAAACAAGCAATAAATTTATTGTCCACTTGTTGAAGAACCTGTAAGATACTCAGAAAAATCATTACACAGTGGTAAAATTATTTTTAAAATGAAGGCAAACAAAAGAATCAACAACCAAAATGTATCAAGAGCAACAAATAGCTAGTAGGACCATCAAGGAAGTGGAAAGTACATTTCCTAACCCAAAAGGCTTAAAGAATTTGGCCTAGCAAAACTAGGCTGAGGAGGTAGATAGTTACTTTTTATAAATACAGTGGGGGCTAAATATGGAAAAGGCAGAAAATTCTTTAAGCTGAAAGACAACACTGGCAGAAGGTCAAATTACCATTAACTGGTTGTGAAACAGTTTAGTCTGGACATAAGATAAAGTTTAAAAATACTAAAAAAAGAATTCTGGATCAGTATTTTCAAAGATAGTCATAGGGACAAGAGTGCTAACTGTTCCAAGGTGGATTAAATGGTCATGTAGAAACCTCCTTGAGTTGGGAATGAAAGCTGTGGGAAGTGACCCTGAGTATCTGATTTGCTGACAGCACCAGAAGATAACATAAACAACCTTTTTGTAAACATCTGCCAGGTAAAAATGAATGGATGATCCTATTTCTTTTCAGGGATACAAGACATTAATAATTCTTTTTATTCCTTTCCTGTGGTATGATGCAACATTTAGTGCTTTTGGTCTTTTCTACAGAGATCCTCAAAATTGCTACAGGGTTCTGAAGGCAGCATTTAGCTTTTTCAGAGATGGGAAGTGGCTATGTCTTGTAGCTTTGCCTTCTTAAAAACATAGAATGGAAAACATTACACAGGTAAAGCTAATCACAGAAACACTCTTAGTTTTAAAGAACAGTTCTTATTATGAGTAAACAGACAAATGGTTCCTTCCATTTTCCATCTTTTCTCTCCTGTCTTTGTGAAATATAATCTGTTTACTCCAGTAACTTTATTTAGTCCTGTTACTCATGCACTCACCACATAAGTAAGGGAATAATTTGGATCCTTGTCCACCCTGGAGATAACATTACCATGCCCCACACAGTCAGAACCTGCAATCTCAAAGTCAGCATGAGACTAATGCCACCTGGGCCTGTAAGCCTTTTGTCACTGGGATGCAAGAGAGACAGAATCCACTCTGGTATTTCTATCCAGGCAAACCATCTAAGAAGGTCAGTTGAAGCCATATATTTACATTAGCTTTTAAGCTAACATTGGAAACATTTGACAAAAAGCATGAAAACAGTTAAACTTGATGCTATGATGCCGCTTTAAAAAATCACTTTTAAGGGCAGACATAAACTTTAAACTGAAATTCCAAGTTTTTCCATCAAATCTGGGATTTGCTTTTGAAATCACACTGCTGAAAAATTAAATTTCTAAGGTCAATAAAAATGGAAGATACAGGACACAGATTTCAAAGAAATATGAACTAAGCAAATGCCTACAACAAATATAAAAAAACTCCTGCCACTGAACTGTCATTTAGTTAGTAGTGTTTCTGACCAGCAGCAACAGGGCTGTCATTCGATTTTGCTTTAGTCATACTAGTTGAGTAATTTCAGAGTCACTTGCAGAGAGCTGATGAACCACGAGATGACACTAAGGTCTGGTATGATGTATGTGTCTGCTGGTATCACACAGGAACCAAGAACTCTGTTAGTGCTTGTGAAAATTAGGAACATGAACTGTCTTCCTGGATATCTTCTTACTACTAGGCAGAAACATCAGCAAATCCCATCTGCTGAGTGGGAATTTGGGGGTTAAAGCTAGTAATAAATTATACTGTACCTGCATTGACTGAACCATGTCTTTGGTGAAACGATAAGGATACAAGATATTGTGGATTTTCACAGCCAGATTGTCAGCCTGACTGCTGGTCACATTGACAGCAAGCTGCAAAAACAGAACCACAGATCAAGCAGACTGGAAAGGATATGGCAAAAAAAAACCCAACCCAAACACACACACTGAATACTCCAAACAAACTGGCTTTAATAAAAACTGCAAATAACTCTGTTTTGCAAACCAAGCTTTCCACACAATAATAACACTAGCTAAAATCACCATCCAGCAATCCATTTACTTCCATCCCTATATATTTTTCCCATCTGGATATTACCTGCTAACTTCAACGCATTCAGCTGATTTTAAATACCTATCAAAAGCCGAAGCTAATTATCAGCCTATGTGAGCTCTCAGTGGATCAGCATTACAAAAGGTATATTGCCCTGAAATGAGTCAGAGCACTTGTCACAGCCGGGACTGAAAAGAGCTGTTCTCTTCCAGAAACTCACCAGCAGGTGGTTTGCTGCTCCGTCCCTATTGTTTGCAGGTGGAAATGGTTACATACATATGTTTACACACACACAACATGAGGATTAAAGATAATGCTACCTCATGACAGCAAAGGAAGTTTTCCTAAAAGCTCAAACATTGTTTTCCTCTCGCATGCTGTAATCCTGTCAGGCTATAAAACCAGTTAGAGTAAAATGCACTTTTAAGACTTGTTGCATCCCAGAGAAAGAAACACGGGTCATTTTAACTCTGTCCACAAAGAGGACAGACACTATACTGCAACTTTGCCTTTCAACAACTTTTAATTTTAAGATGATTATCTCCACAGAGGGAAAGACATGTACCATGTTAGTCTGATACCTGTTTCTCTGACTTTGAAGAAATCCACAACAATGACTTGCATATAAACAGTCTATAAAGCACAGAACTGCCAGGTCTATAGTCTAACACGTCTCTGAATAACTTATACACAACAATTACAATATTTGCAATTTTGGTCCCTGTGTCAGAAAATAAAATAATGATTCCTATTTTAGCATGAGATGCAAGGTAATACTTACCTTTGGGCAGGGAACAAAAACAGGATTATCCCATTCCAACAGCAATGACTGCAGAGACACCCCTTCAGCATCTGGGAAAAAAACACATAGATAATACAGGGACTACCACCACCTGTCAATAGAAGGCTCATTGGGTACCTCTACTGCACACAAGTATGATTTCATTTTTTCCCATTGTAAAAAGGAGTGTACAAATCAAAAATGGAACATGAGACTAGGCTTCTCTACTGTCTGCTTTAACTAAGAAAGGCACTGTGCAGCTTTCTGACTCCTAAAAATGCTGCAGCACTATTCAACAGGCCTGGAAATGGAGGGAAGGGAGAGGGAAAGAAAGACCTCTTTAGCTCCCCACTCCCTCTGGACAAAGCTACATACCAAAAAGATTATTTCATCCTTTCCACCACAAAAAAAAAGTGTGAAGATTGAAGCTATTTTTCACATTCCAAGGTTGGAACGAGTACAAAGAAGGGAGTAGGTAATTATTCTTAAAACCACTGACATAATTCAACAAAGAACTGGATATTTCATCCTGTAAATAAGTATCCCCTAACCTGCCTCCAACCCTAAAAGTAGTTTTTTCCAGTTCTAGATCTGAGATGACTCACACAGTCCCATTGTTAACAGACCTTGAGTAATTCTGGGTTCCTGTTGGGACATCTGGGAGAATTCTCTGATTTGTTTTTACCACAGAACACTGTGTCCTGGAAAGCTGGCCCTACCTTTCAGATCCTGGCTTGCCTGAATCTTCTCTTTCTGTGGTCTAGGAAGAAAAGGTAGCACAACTTCACTTCTAAAGGGATGGCATCTGAACTGAAACCCTAAACACAAAATGAATTTACTGCTACAGGACCAACAGCATGAAAAATTACTAAAAGCTCTACAATTATAATATTCTCATAAAGGAGTGTGTGCTTAGCCCTGTACCAATTAGGGTATCCCACAGATTTTGCAATCTAATACTGAGAAATAATAGCACATAT